GACTGGAATTCAGATCTCTGTCTCACAGTGCAGGCGCTTTGTCTGCAGGTTGAGTGTGTTCCAGTGAGGCCGGGCACCTCTCCTGAGTCGTAAGTGGGCTGGTCTTTGTCCCCAAAGTCACAAAGGGCAGCCGCTGAAGACCTGTGTTTTTTTTCAGACCTACTGTATTTGCCTGTACAGTTACTGTTCCCTGCGTTTCACTTTCCAAATTTTGAATTAGTTATCACCATTTAGAAATCAGGTGATTTCCACACACAAGTCCAGATGCCCAGATTCTTTGGGAAATGGGGAACAGCTGGGAGTTAACCTTGGGCTGCCCTTGCACCTGGCAGGCAGGTGCTGAAGTCAGCACAGTGACAGCACCCCGGCCACCCACCACGTGGCCAGCCGCATCCTCGCCCCTGTGTCGGTTCATTCCGTGCTGTGCTGGACTCTGAGGCCACAGAGGTAAGGGCAGCCCCTAATTCCGGGCGCGTGTACAGCTGTTGTGCTTCTTTTGGGTGGGCAGCAGCTTTGCTGCACAGAGTAGGCATCTAAAGTAGGGTTCCTCACTTTCTAACCATCATTGTCTGGGACCAGGAAATTCTTCATCGTGGGGGTGCTGTCCTGCGCCTCGAACCCCAGCTGTTACCTGCTAGTGTGGCACCCCCTCAGGGATAGTGGAAAATGTCTCTAGACGCTGTCACCTCTGTCAGGAATCACGATCTCAAGGCTCATGGATGCCAGGGAGTAAAAGGCCATTGGGAACTTGAGCGAGATGCTTCAGAATCTGCTTATCTCCTGATTGCAGATTTGGATCAGCTCAGGGGTCCTGTCCTTACTGTCCCTGCCACCCACTCTGGGCTTGGCTCTTCAAGCGCTGGTGGCACCAAGTGCCAGGTCCACATGCAGGTTTATCCTGAGCAAGCGTTTGTGCATCTTTGCATGGCATCTGGCACCAAGAGCAGCTGAGTAAGCAGCCTCCTGATACTGTCCTCGAGACAGCCATCAGCCAAGGGCCCAATGGGGGTCAGTTGTTAAAGTCTTTGATTAAAAGCAGCTGCTCTTGTCCAGCCAATTATCTTGTTTTTAATTATAAAAACCATTTCAAGCTTAGTAATTTCAGTACCCAGATTTGTATTTAATTATGAACTTTTTAATTAACAGGTTGACAGTGTATATTGATATTCATTCCCTCTATTTTGAAATCTTGGCAAAGCAGGTTCAACACTTACAAAAAGAGGTTCTGGCCCATGATCCGTATCTCTTCTGGTAGAATTTGTTGCAGGGCCTCCTCTCCCAACCCCCTTTTATAGAGCAGGGAGCCACCCTTCTTTCTCTTTGGAATGGCCTAGGAACAAGCCAGGGAAGGACTAACTGAAAGTTCTGTGCTCCAAGGACTCAGTGAGAGACTTCTTTTTTGCTGACCCTGCCAGTGATCACAGAAAATTCCAACTGTGAGAATCATTCAAGTTGGTCCTGATAAAACCACACCAAGGCAGGCCAGCGATTTAGCTCAGTGGCACTGCGCCTACCTTGCAAGTGCAAGGTCCTGAGTTTGATCCCCAGGACCAGAAACCAAAACAACAACAACAACAAAACCACACCGAGGTCTTTAGAAAATGCTTTAACATCATCTTTGAGTTTAGATCCCTTTGCTTTTAGGGGACTTCATGGAGCCTGTCCACGCCTGTGCATAGCGAATGAATTTAGTAGCAAAGAAAACTTCTTCCTCACTCCAAAATACCCTTAGGATCACAGTGTCTGAAACTGATCAGTTTCCCATTTGAAGTCAAAACTTGAAATCTCTTTAAATGCCATCTAATTATGACCTTCTCGATACCCATCGCTCACGACCTCTCCAGTTTTATCATCATTTATCAGATGATGAGTTGGCACTCAGCAACGTCCTGTGGGGACTGGACGTCAGGCAGTTACATTTTGGTGTTGCTTGAAATATGGATGAGAGATGGGGGTCCGAGCTCAACAACCCATTCATTGGTTCAGCAGTTATTGGGTACAGCATTAGGTGGATTCCTGCAGCCAGCAGAAGGGCACAGTCTCCATCCTACCGGGTTTCCTAGGAATTAAATGACCACAGTAATAAACAAAATTGGTCACCCACAGACAGAGAAGGACTGAGAGGCACTGAGAGCACCCTAGGGAAGCGCAGTTTGTGTTGGCCGCATGTGCTCTGCAATCTGATGATTATGTCATGGCTACAGGAAGTGTGTTCCTTTCAGGAATGACGGGGATGAACACATTTGCAAACAGTTCAGTCAAGCTCTGACTTAAATAGTAGTAATGCTATTAAGATGCTTGGACCCTGTGTCAGCTTCTCCTGCTGTTTGGAAAACAACATCAAAGCTCACCTCCCAGGCCTTCTTCACAGTCAGTGAACCAGGCTTGTTTTCATTTTAGCATTCACTAAGCTCCTCGGGTGTTTTCTGAAGTAACTGCACCAAAGAGGTGAAAAGTGAGGTCATTATACTCAGCATTGTCCTTGGACTGTGGGAGGACAAGCGGCCCAGGGCCAGCCGCCTGCTGGGTCCACTCCCTGGTGATTAAGGATTATTAGCAGGAAGTGTATAAAATGGCTGAGTTCAGTCACATTTAGAGAAGTGAAAGCCTCCAATCCAGAGCCTGTGCAGCCCTCGCCTCGGGTGGCAGTGACCCTGCACCTGCCTGGAACCTACAGGTGGCACCTGCATTCTTTCCCGGGTACTGGGGGAGCAGCAGATCACTTCAAGGGAAAAGCCAGGCCCTCAGAGGAGAGCCGCTTGGGCCGAAGAATGGCTTCCCCTTTCGTTTCCTCTTCTCTCCAGAGGATGGAGGTGACGGAGCCCCAGCTTCGGGCACGGACGTAGACAAGGGACAAGCAGGCCCCCAACTTCACACACGAGTTATCTTTCAAAATGTGGCTTTTTGGATCTTGGACCATAGTTTCTCCCAGAATCCGGCCTATAAATGATGACAATAGGTTAGGAAAGTCCTCAGAAATGCATTTGTTTCCTAACAGACACTAATTCCAGCCACATTGTTGTGAGTTCAATAGAATTGATCCATCTATTCTTAATTATGGTATGATTCTCACAGGAACAGGGAAGGAACATTCCTGCTTGGAGCTTTAAGATACTCATCTGCCCCACACACTGTCTCTATTTCAGCAAGGTACAGGCAGCACCTGCCCTCCCTCCGTGACCAGCTCCTTGACCAGCATGTCCCCAGTCTCCAGCGCGAGGAAGGAGTAGGCTTATTTGTACTCTCGTGCCCCAGAAGGCAGGGCTTGACTCCCAAATGTTAGGGCACCGGGAGGAGGAGCCATGTCGATCAGCCCCCAAGGCCAACCCACGGAACACACTTGTCTGATGAGAGAGCCACTCCTCAGTGTCACAGGCTTGCACAATGGGACAGGCCTCTCACTGGACGTCTAAAGGTAGAAGTCAGGCAGCCAGCTGCTAGGACGTCCACTGAAGGGTAGCGGCTCTAGAAGTGTAGTTGGTTAGAAAATAATCATATTTTACGGATCAGCCATCATAGGCAACATTACGGTTTAGATCTCAAATGTCCACCCAAAGTCTCATGTGTTTGGAAGGTGATTGGATTATAGGGGCGCTGTACTCGTCAGTGGATTCAGTAACTGAACGTGCTCTTAGGATGTGGGGCCAGGTTGGAGGTAGGTCGCTAGCAGTGTGACCTAGAAGTGTGATTCTTATCCCTGGCTTCTCCCCTTTCTCTGCTTTCTCCATACCATAACACAAGCAGGCCCTTCTACCGTGTGGTTTCTCCTCTAGGCCCTTCTACTACTATGTGATTTCTGCCTTGGTGCTGTCTAACCATGGACCGAACCCACTGAAACTATAAGCCAAAATAAATCTCTTTTCCCTTAAGTTGTGGGTGTTGGGTATTTTGCCACATAGGCCCAGCACAGGTGGACTACCTCGGATGTATTGTTTCTCAGCATCACAGACACTGTTAGATGTGATCGGCTTCCACATTCCAGATGGGCAAACTAAGGCTAAATCATATCCGTAAGGTTACAGTAAGTAAATGCCTGAGCCAGAACTTCACTCAGGCCTGCCTGTTTATTGGTTTTGTCTCACAGATAGCCAGTTCATTTTTCTACTAAAAGTAAAAGTGGTATAAGTTACCTATATGTCAAAGTCATCTAGGTAGGTGGCACTTTTCACTGGGAATGGAATGTGAGCAGCCTGTATGTTTCAGCTGTTCAGCACCCAGACTGTGTTAGAAAGATCAAGGTTCCGTGTCTGAATGGGTGGGTGCCGTGTCTCACTGAGTACATAAGAGGGCAGGATATACCAGGAGGACAGACAGAGAGGCAAGGAAGAAAAGGGACTGGCAGAAAGTGCAGTTGTGCCCTTGGAAATAGCTTTTTACCCTAGAAGAAAAATGACAGGGGAATCAGACATTTCGAAGTTTAAAATAGAAAATGGAGAGACCTTTGGATGTCTTGCATTTTAGGCATGTTAAAATATTCAGCTCTTCCCCTCCTCACTCCTCCCTGTCCTCACACTACTTTTTCATGTGGAAATCACTGACCATATTTCTTCCCGTGCTGTGGGAAACTCATGATTCCCCATCTGTATGTTTACCTTTAAATGTTCTGTCAGTCTAAGTGAAACAGAAAGATTCAGGCGTCCTCACCACTTCGAAGATTACAGATACCTGCATAATTTCATATTCATAAATCCTCTAAAAGCACCCAAGGCCCTTGGAAGCCTCCCCGGCCCCAGCCTGTGGTCGCTCCAGAGAGCATCAGGTCAGGATGAGTGGCCACCCCACCTTCTTCCCCGTGGCAGCATTGAAGGCGGCCTCCCAGCCCCCTCACCACCTGCCTTGTACCTGAGGTCTGCCCCAGGGTGGTGGGGCAGTTCCTGGCTCTACTTGCAAACGGGGTGGGGTGGTCTGGGCTGGTCAGCGGGAGGGACCGTGGCAGAAGGGGAGGGCGATGCCCCCTGCCCTCTTGGATGTGGCTGCTGACCTCCTGCTGCTGTTCACAGCCTCCTGCTGGGTGGGCTCGGAGAGGCCTTGCTGGTTTTCTCAGAGCGCAAGGGCTGCTGATGACGGTGGTCAAGGAAGGAGACTCATGGCTGGATGACACTGTGCTGTGGCCTCGAGCTTCTGTTGGCGCGTCGGAAACAACGTGAGGACGGGCACCGAGCCTGCCCCCGCCCTGACCGAGCAGCATGCTGCGGAGATGCAGTTGCTTGTCACGGCTCCGGGGAGAACTTTGTGGGGGATTCCGGGATGGCCAGCATCACGTCTTCCTTGAGACTCTCTGGACGTGCTGTGCTAGTTTCTGCAGAAACAGGAAGTGCAGGATTTCACCGGGCTGGCTCCTCACACCTCACGCCACCACACACTGCTTTGCCTTAGCCTGCTCTCTGCTCTCTTTACCTAACACGTAAAGATGTTCAGTGACCTTGACACAAAGTAGCCTGCAACTTGCTTTTGCTCTTTACCTGGGACGCCAGACTTTCTATAGACCAGTGGTCAAGTAGGAAAGCCTTATTCTTTTGCTCCCACAAAACTCTGTAAGCATAGAGATGGGTTCTTTTCCACTTGTAGAAAGTAGCATCTGCCCAAATGTCAGCACACGCCTGTCTTTTCAGCTGCCCTTTAAGCGCACGACACGTCCTCAGCCTCCAGAGAACCATGCTGTCCCGAAGCCCAGTCCCAGTCCGTGGAGGAGGACTGACCTCAGAAACTTGTGCTGAAAAGTCTTAGACCCTTTGTTTTAAGGATCTCTAGCCAAGGGTGATTTAGGCTTTGTTTTGTTTGCCAAGAGTCCTGTTGTTCTGTGCACCTTGGGTCTTTCTTACTTTGAGGACAGCAGCGGGCAGTGCACACCATCCTGTTTCCTTCTGTCTCCGTCTCTTTCTGGACATTTTCCTCAAGCTTTAGTTGCCATCTTTTAGATCCATGTTCACACGCCCAGCCCTGAACTCTGGGGTCTGTGATTCCATCCCCTGCCAGCCCTGGTAGGCTGGGACTGGTTCCCTGTGGGTAACCTCCAGGTAACCACACACCTCTGTTACCCTCAGGTCCACAGTTCTGTGTGGTTGTGTAGTACTGATCTGCTGTGAATGTAGAGAAAAATAAACCATTTATTTTCTTGGTAATCTGCCTTTTTCTCTTCAGTCATGGGGATGGGAGGGGATTGAAGAAGATTGTTGGTACCCCTGGGGATGGGAGTTCTTTGTATCTATGTGGGTGTGTGTGTGTGTGGTACAGGGGTTGAACCCAGGGTCTTTCACTGAACTACATCCCTGGGCCTTTTGAAATTTTATATTTGTTTTGGGATAGGGTCTCACTAGATTGCTAAATTGCCCACGTTGGCTCATACTTGCAGTCTTCCTGCCTCAGCCTCCCAGAGTGCTGGGATTACAGGTGTGCACCACCACACCTGTCCCTTCTGCCATATCTGGGCCTCTTACCTGTCACTACAGCAGGGCCTGTGTGCCGCCTTCTTAATGTGAGCTGTCCATAGCGTTCCCACAAGACTGAATCATGGTTACACCAAACTCACACCTGCTGTAAGCATGAAAATACACTTATTTTGAAAACTTCATGTAAAAATTGTAATATAAGTTTTATATTGATCACATTAAAATAATGACATACCAACTCTATAAACATGAAATGCATATTCTCAAAGCTCGTGTCTTTTTACCTTTTATAATGTGGTCACTGAACAGTTTTAATGTGTAGATGTGATGTCACTGTAGGTCACTGTGAATTCAGAGTTCATCTGGGCCCAGGAAGTGGCAAAGGAGGGGACGCAGGCAGCAGTCACTGGGATGCCATACCTACGGCTGTGGCGCAGGGGCTCATGTGCCAAGCACCCCCCACACCGTGGCTTTGATTCTTCCCACTGGGGTGCAGCGACATCCCATTTCCCAAGAAGATCGGGGAGATTCAGTAACTTCCAGGACCACCCAGCAGGACTCAAACCCTGGCCTTCCGCCCTCACTTTAGGGTTCTGCTGAGGAGAAAAGCCTGACACGTGACAGCTCTCCATGCAGTGCCAAACTGTGGGCTCCTGATGTCCCTGGGGGCATGGCAACTTCCTGAGGAAGACCTCATTCCTCCCTTTGTCTAAGAGTAAGGTCTGTGGCCTGTGTTCCCCCACCTTCTCAGTGTTCCTATCCCCACCCCCCCAGCCTCCTGCCTGGCTTGTGCCTGAGATCCTTGGATGGCTGGGCACCCAGGAGCCTTCAGGAGAGGCTTTGCTTGTCCCAAACTACCACCCTGAGCTCCCAGGACAACCAGCCTGAGTGCTGAATGCAGGCTCGTTTCCTCAGCAGTTGGAATTGGTGGCTGAGGGGTTGAGTTTGGAAGGGGAACCTGGGAGGCAGAGCCCTCCTAGGTTGCCCTTCTCTTTGCAGGGGCTGTGATCTGGAAGGGAGCGCTGTCCCAGATGCACCTGGCCATGCAGGAATGCAGTCGGGCATTCGCCTTGGACAGAGTACTGAAGACCATGGGTTCCCTAAAAGTTCCATTGGTAGGGGTGGCTGTGGTCCTTTGCTGCTTGTTCTAGGGAAAGAGGCTGAAGGATGAGGCCTTTGGCCTTTTCCCAGCCCTACCCAGCGTCATAGGCTTCGGGTCCCCTCCTGAGCCCAGCTGGGAGTCTCCGAAGACACCCCCACACTGTGGCCCTGTGCCGGTCCTCTCTCTGGAGTTTGGCTGGCTCCTTCGTGTGCCAGAAGTCAGGGGATGCGGAGGAAGTGGTGCCATGTGGCTTCTGAGGGCAGGACCAGTGTCTGGGAGCTGTGCTCTAGGAAAAGATGCCAGGCCAGCCGTGCAGCCATCCCACCACACCGTAGATCAGCCCAGCAACCAGCTGGATGCCACCGAGAGACTGAAGTCACGGTCTCAGGAGGCAGAGGGCTCACCCAGCTGAGCGGAGGCTGGAGGAATCCCTGAGCACAAAATGGTGATGAGCTGTGGTAAAATTACCTCAAGCAACCATGATTTGGGACGGTCTGTTACATAGCAGGAGAAAATAAAGCAGTGAGCCTTGTGTGGTGGTGTTTAACTGTAGTCCAAGATGGACTCAAGAAGCCAAGGCAGCAGGATCTCTTGGGCCTTGAGCCCATGCATTCAAGACCAGCCTGGGGCAATATAGTGAGAACCTGATCTTAAAGAAAAGGAAAAAGAAGTGAAGGAGGGAGGGAAATAGAGCAGAGGCCCCCAGCTCTGCCCTCTGGGAAATGATGGAATAAAAGGGCTATTCTGTGAGGCCCTCTGTTCTGCTCCTGTCAGGTGGATCCAGTCTGGCCCTCTGAGGCCTTCCCCCAGTCAACTCTTGCTCCAGCAGCAGCTGTCCCTACTCAGTGCTGGAGCGGAACCCGCAGACTGCCTGCCCGTGGCCCAGCCCTTGCAGGGCAGGAGGTACAATCAAAGGACCTCATTCGCTGATTCATTTGCAAGTCTTGGTGAGGAAAGCTTGGTTTTAGGGTCTGGGGATAGAAGCGTAAACAACGTCCTTCCAAGCTGCTTTCTAGCTGTGGAGACCCACAAGGAAAAGGAAACGATTTCAGAGCCTGTAAAGAGCTGTTTAAGAAAATAAAGCGAGAAGGGAAACAAAGATGGGCTCTTCTGACGGTCAACAAAAGGTGAAGATGTTCCCTTCCCGAAATGCAGAGTCACGCACCTGTGCGATGTAGCACAAAGTTTGGAGGCATGTCATGTCCCTGAAATCTGTGGGACCTCTGTGGGCTCTGGATTCCAGGAGGACAGAGATCCACTCCTTCCCGCAGGTTCTGGGAGGAGCCAATCAGGTGGTTAGTGGGATGTGAGGTGCAGGCCTTGGGAGGCCTGCGCCCTACCTGTAGGCCGCTCATCCTGGCAGAGGAGAGGAGGTGACAGCCCTGAAGTGGACCTCGTGGTTAATGGCAGTAGGGTCAGAGGAGATGCAGGACGGAGCGGGCCGGCTGCATGTGGCTCTCAGTGCTCCACCCGTGTGGCCTTCCCTCCTCACAAGGAACCCTAGATGGAGGAAGCATCTTCACGTTCAGAGAAGACCTAGAGGAGGTAAGGAACTGCCCCGGCATCCTTGGCAGGGTAGGGGGTGCCAGGATTTGAAGGCAGTGTCTGTCCTGCACCCCACCCCGCCTCTTTACATCCTGTGCAAGGAGTGGGCAGTGGGCAGGTCCTGTCGGGCTCAGGGACCAAGGCTGGAGGAAGGTGGCTGCTGCCAGGGAATGATGGAAAATGTGCGCGCCCATCTTGTGCCAGTCCCTGACAGGGGTCCCCTCCACATTCTGGGTCTGCTCCTCTGGACCATGCCAGGACTTCCAGCCCCACGGGACAGGAAACCTGCCCAGGGTCACACACTGGCGGGCCAAGATACCGAAGCCATTTTCAAGCCTTGACCACCAGCCGTGCAGCTGCAGGGTCTCTGGACTGGGGGCACACCCCAGGAAAGGGGTTCTTCTGGATGCCTTGCAGCTGTGCCTAGTCCCAAGTGACCTGAGGGGCCTGTGCTTGAGTGGGAGCTGTTTCTGGTTGGGAGCTGCAGTGGGTTCTGCTGAGTAAAGCACTGGCAGGGCCGGGGATTTAGCTCAGTGGTACAGCGCCTGCCTGGCAAGTGTGAGGTCCTGAGTTTGGTCCCCAGTACCCAAAACAAAACAAAAACAAAGAAACACAGACACAAAAAACACTGGCACAGGCACCCGCCCCTGTCACTCTGGGACCTGCTGGGATGGGCCTGTCGGAGCTACCCCTTCCCTGGCCACTGAGGGTAAAATCTCATTTAAACTATTGCCTGTGCTAAAGGGGACATTGTAGTCATTTAGTTCCTGCCCACACTGTGAAAGACACACAGGGCTGGCATAGGCCTCTGCCCATTTGTCCTCTTGACTCCCAGCCTCGAGGACAGCCGTAGAGCCCTAAGGCTGAGCCCAGGCTCCATTCGCCTAGACCAGCTGATTCGCATGACAAGTGGAAGCCTCAGAGTTGCCCAGATGATTTCATTGTCCTTCATTTATCCCCTCTGGCATCCAACCCAGACACGTGCGCCCTGGGCACTGATCCCTGTTACCATGACGGAACCTCCCATGTTCTGGCAGGCGCGGCTCTGGTGACTTGCCCTGCGATGGTGGACCGAGGGCAAGTACAGTGGACCTTCAAGTTGTGACCGGCCTGACATACGAACACCTTGGGTCAATCAGGTTAATGAAGATTCATGTGCCTCTTGTTATCTACAGCTTGTACCCAGGGAAACATCCAGATCTCAGCTGTATTGACTAAAGCCAACTTGAGTTAGGGAACTGATTGAGTTTATAAGTCAGGGGTTCACTGTGCACACGTGTGAGCCTACAAGAAGACAGAACTGAAACAACAGAAAAGCTTTGCTGGAATCTAATTCACATGCCCTCAAATGCACCCGTTTAGAGTGTTCCCCGAGTCGCCTCTCGGGTGGTCCCAGAACTCTGCAATCAGCACTGCTGTCACTTTGCAGGGCCTTCACCCCAAGAA